AATAAATAAATAAATAAATAAATAAATAAATAAATAAATAAATAAATGAATGAATGAATAAATAAATACATGAAATTTTAAAAGTAAAATAAAATGAAAAAAAAATTAAAATATTTTCAATAACATGCTAGCATTAGCCTTGTCAAAAATAGGGAGTTATCATTATAAATATAGTGAAATATAGAAAAAACTTTTTGGTCATTGGGACTCTCTTCCTTATATTAATGAAACTGTTTTGCTATACTATTGAAAATGGGGACAAAATACAGGCAGTTTCTAGTTCCATCCATTTGTGTCCTTCTCTACAGTATGTACAAACAATCTGGAAATACCACTCCACTTTATGACTAAGTTAATTTAAAATTAAGGGAATTGAGAACTACAGAACACAGTTTTATATTCCCCATGTTCCTAAAAGCAAGATATTCATATACAGTGGTTTATTCTCTTTCTCTCAACCATGAAGGACAGAAGCTTATCACAAAGCCAAATGAGATGCATATTTCCCTGCAGATGATTCCTAAATAATCCACATGACAAAATTCCATTCACTTGACTCCCTACATCTTGATCTATGTAGATATCCTTTATTTTATGTTGTCAAGCTGTTAAAAAATTTAGTACTTGTTGAAGCTGCTATGCAAGTGGAAATTCTAGTCCAACTCTTACTCATTTCCTAGGTTTCTCTTACAATAGAGTTTTTGTTAGTTTCTTTCATGTTTGTAAGAACAGCATGTTCCTTCAGTTTATGTAGTTTCTATTTTTCATAATAATTTCTAAAGTATTCATGTCATAAGAAATGGAATGACAGTGTTTTGGGAAAACTATATCAGAACATATGCAAGAGACCTTCAGACCTATCTCCCTTATGAACAGTGAAGCAAAAATACTCAATAAAATACTTGCAAACCGAATCCAAGAATATATAAAAGATACCATCCACCATGAACAAGTAGGCTTCATCCCAGGGCATTCAGGGATGGTTCAATATATTCAAATCCATCAATATTATACACCATATAAACAAACTAAAGGAGGAAAACTACATGATCATCTCCTTAGATGCTGAAAAAGCATTTGACAAAATTCAACACCCATTCATGTTTAAAGACTTGGAGAGATCAAGGATACAAGGGCACATACCTAAACCTAGTAAAGACAATATACAGTAAGCCTAAAGCCAACATCAAACTTAATGGAGAGAAACTTAATTCAATTCCACTAAAATCATGGACAATTCAATGCTGCCCACAATCTCTGTATCTCTTCAACATCAGTTCTTGAAGTCCTAGCTAGAGTGATAAGACAACTATATGAGATCAAATGGATACAAATCAGAAAGGAAGAAGTCAAAGTATCACTATTTGCAGATGATATGATAGTATACATGAATGAGAACATGTAACACCTTCAGCTGATAAGCACCTTCATCAAAGTGGCTGGATATAAAATTAACAGCAAAAAATAAGTAGCCCTCCTGTATATGAAAGACAAAAAGGTTGAGAAAGATATTAGGGAAACAACAGCCTTTAAAATAGCCACAAATAACATAAAGTACCTTGGTGTGACTCTAACCAAACAAATAAAACACCTGTTTGAAAAAAGAGTGAATGGAATTTTATGTAAGAAGTGGGAAATAGTAAGAGCTGGAGGCGACGGGAACTCCACAAGGAGAGCAACAGAACAAGATAATTTGAACACAGGGAACTTCCCAGAAAATCATACTCCAACCAAGGACTATTTGTGGAGATGACCTGGAACCCCTGCACAGGTGTAACCCATGGCAGTTCAGTGTCCAAGTGGGTTACATAGTAATGGGAAGAGGGACTGCCTCTGACATAATCTGATTGGCCTGCTCTTTGATCACTTCCCCCTGAGGAGGGAGCAGCCTTACCAGGCCACAGTAGAGGACAATGCAGCCACTTTTGATGATAACTGATATAGACTAAGATCAGAAAGGAGAGGAGAACCTCCCCTATCAGTGGACTTGGGGAGTGCCATGCATGCAGAAATGGGAGGGAGGGTGGGATCCGGAGGGGAGGAGGGAGGGGATTATGGGGGGATACAAAATGAATAAAGTGTAATTAATAAAAAAAATGAAAAAAAAGAAAAAAGACTTCAAGACTTTGAAGAAAGAAACTGAAGAAGATA